CAGTTACGTATTGCTAATCAGTACATAATTAATAATTTTATTTAAAGAAATTAACTACGTTAAAACTGAAATATTTTAAACGTTATAATCTTTACAAGATTCAATTTATTAAGCATAATCAGCATATGTAAATAGTATAATGTGGGTACTTGACTATTATTTAAACAAAACATTGTTCTTTAGTACTATTTCATAGTACATTCACAAAAATAATGTCAAATTTTACCTTTTATAATTTAATTTAAAGATATTTGTAAAATAACTGTTATTAAAATAAAATGATTAATGATTTATGTATGTAATGAATTATAACATTTAAAAGTAATTGGTTACGTTATAATCTACATATTTTCTTTAGCGAAACATGAACCTTCTGTTCGAACTTGTGAAATTGCAGCTAGCAGCTATCAACTCCAAGAAGGTCATAGCAATGTTCAGCAGGAATTGACTGATGAGTAAATTTTTCTCAAAATCAGATAATTGAAACCGTTTTATATTATTGTTATTTCTATTCAGGCCAACTACGTACGATGCGGCTTTTAATCCCGCTAAAGATGTAAACGGAATTCATCCAGAAAAATGGACAAATAAACCAACAAACCAAGGTAGACAATAACCTCCTACAATTATATATATACTTATGTATATTAAAATATTGTATACACTTTTTTTTCAAAGATTTAACCAACCTCAAGCTTGAAAATAAAAAGCTTGTCAAACAAATTAATTTGCTTGAAACAACAGTGAATACACTTTGCAAGAAATTAAAACAACAAGAAAAAGAGAAAGCTAGGCTTAATGATGAATTTCATACGATGCGATTGAATGATGAAGATTATAAATGCCGTATTTGTTTGGAAGTATTTATAAAGGTAAACATTTAAACTCTCTAGAAATATGCACTTAAATTTGATACAATTTAAAATAAAATTAATTTAATTTGATTAAGCCAATTTTAACGAATTGCTCGCACATGTTTTGTGAATATTGCATTGACATATGGTTGTCGAAAAGTGATAAGTGTCCAACATGCCATGTTATAATGGATGATTATTCATATTGTTTAAATATGGGCAACTTTATCAAAAGAATGATGGAACAGATGCCAGAAAAAGTCAAAATGAATTTCAAGAAATTAGAAGACACCCGATCTAAGTACAAACCAAAAAGTAATTTTTATAATGTAATTCATAATATTGACTTCGATTATATTGGACTATTTATATTCAATATTTTAATTATTTTTACAGTAGGTTTATTTTTTTACTTATTTAACTAATTATATAAATTAAAAGAATCTCATTTAATTAATTTTACTATTTGTTTTGTTTTTTTTTTTTTATGTTCTTTAAAGTCTTATTTATATTTTTTCATTAAAATATTTTTCTTTAAACTCTTTTTTAATTATTTTCTATTGTTGCCAAAACTTTTCCAAAGATTAAAATAAAAACTGATAAAAATACTTAACTTAATCCTTGTTAATAGATCTTTTTTTTACAGAATAAAATAAGTTTATTACACAAAAACTGTTAAGTTTAGTTTAGTCATAAAATAATCTAAAATAACATCAAATTATTCAAATCTAAGATATATCCTATCAATAATTAATTCAATTAATACAAATTCTTTTGATTATACTCTGAGCTTCAAAATTTATCATAACAATTGAGAATAAATCCTCTAGGATATTAGGTTTTATGAATAGAAATATTAAAATTGTTAGGAATTATGCAATTTGCAAATAAATTACATTTTTTATTCATTTTTTTTTTTTTAATTATACAAATGAGAATTTTAAAACGTATACTGCATTGTTTTCAATTAATTTTTATTTGTCTTACTGAGAATATTTCATATTTATATATTAATTTTACACTTTCATATTATTAAATCATTGTCATATACATAACTTTTTGTTAAATGTCATATGCTCATAGAACATACTATAAATATAATATTTGCAACTGTTCAAAATTGTTTTATTATTATAGGTAAACTACTGAATATCATGTGCTGAGTATGAGTAACCTGAGCTAAAAAGATCTTCATTTAATTGACATATTACAATTTTATTTTTATTTTTTATTATATTTTTGATATATATAGACATATAGTACATATTATATATATATAATTTTTAATTATTACTATTCCTATACTTGTAATAAAATTAGCAACTCGAATGCATCACAATTTATGATAAAATATCAACAATGTGTAATGGGTAGTTAAAAAATAAAATTTTAATTGACTTTTATTTATTTAAATAACTAAAAATATATACCTATTAAAGACTACTCTGTGTGATGTTATCAATTTGCAAAATATTTCTGTGACCATTTGTTTAAACTTTCAATTTTTATAAAATATTTAGAATTCTAAGCAATTTGTACAATTATTTTAATTAACTTATAGATTAGAAATAAAAAATAAAAATTTGTGTTAGTTTTTTAAAGAAGTTTTAATATTAAGACCAACAACTTTATAAGGAAAAAATTATATCAATAGTAAAATATTATACCTACTTAGTAAAAATTACAAATTAATGTTAAAATAAATGTAAGTTTCACAAGTAGAGTGAATTTTTTTGTTTGTGTAGTTAATTGAAATTTAATAAGTGTACATATTATAGAATATGTTATATAATAAATAAAATAATTACAAACTTAGATATTTTTGTTTCAATTAACTATAGATAATTAGGCTCTTACTATTATAATGTTGATATATATATTTTGATAAAGGTAAATATCAAACTTATTTAATAATAATTTTTGAGGTCATTTTTAAACAAAAAAATTCTTTGTATATTAATTTTGAATTCAAAATAAAAAACAATACTTTTTGAGGAGATGATATAAAAGTTACTTTCTTGTAGTTCCGAAATACGGAGAGGTATATCCTGCATATTTTGTACACACGCCTACGACTATAACACATAAAGATTTCAAGTGCCAAGGTATTAGATTTGAAAGTAACGATAAATCTTCAAAAACTATTAACGAATGTCTGTAACAAGAACCTTGGTAAGTTTTTTATATTACAAAATTAACTACAGAGAGTTGAGACAGTAGAAAAATCACCTCTTCTAAGTGCAGTGATATCTTAATTATATTTTTAATGTGTCATATTATATCAAACTTTTCAAAATCTTCTACATAGGTTTATGTTGTAAATGTGCTGACAAAGAAAATTTAAATAAATTAAGTTACATTGAAGTTTTTGATTTACAAAAACAAAAGCGTTATTGCTTAAGATTAAATTTAAGGTATAATATTATAAATTATAACATATCAATTCACATGAGTAAATATTCCAATAATGATTGGAACTTAACTGTGGATAATTGATTGAAATAACAGATCATACTATATAAAAGTACAGAGACCGTTGAATGAAATATAATACATTAATACAATAACTCATGTAGGTGTAGGTAATAATTATAACGCAGAGCTAAAAACTAAAAAGTACTAATTCCAGAATCTACTGGCGTGTTATCGTATTATGTTTATTATCACAGACTCGGTTATCTCTGCGGTTACTAAATTATTGTTCCCACTTGAACCATACAATAACTGGAACGCTCATCGCCCAGTGTTGCCCGGGAGAGTATATTAAAAAGAGATGGCGAATGCATCAAGAATATCTATCTCTGTTTAACATACGACGCGATGCCAACATATTATAGTTTCGTTTTACATTGGACATCGGTGCGTACCGAGTAAAAATTAATTGTATTCATTAATAATGCGGCTTGATGGTTAATTTATAATTTAACTTCGAAATATTTATTTATAATGTAATAATTGTCACCTGAATCAGAGGCGTACTGGGGCCCCTAGCGTACAAAAACATTTTATCTCTTCATTTTTATTTAGTTTTCGAATTATCAATTAAACATAATATATTTATATTTTTGGATATATTGTGATTTAAATGTTTCTTTAATACACACACACACACATACACACACGTACATTACATATATTGTAAAACTAAAATTAAAATTTTTATTGATATACCCAAAAATAATTTGTAATAATAGTATTTATTTAAAACTATTATACATAGTTTTTATATATTTTTTTTAATCACTGTTTAATAATTTGAATATTAACATTCTTAATATAAATTTAAAAAAAAAATACTTGCAAACAAACTAACAAATTATATTTAACTTAATAGTTCATACATAAAATACGTCTGTAGTAACTATTTATAAACGAATAATAATATAGATAAAATAATTATAACATTTTATTTTAATCTGCAATTTAATATTAAAACATACGATGTAATATATAATAAATATAATTAATGAATCAGTAGATTGAAATAAGTATAATATACTAAATTCTTTATACTTACCAACGAATATTTTGTTAAATGTACATGTTGTGACCGATCCAAATGATATTTTATTTGTTTTGGATCATTGGCAATAGCTTTTAAATTTACCAGTTTTTTTAAACGAAGCTCTTTAGCTCCGCCCTTTGATTTTTTTTCATTATGTACTAAGTATGTATTTATTTAAGAATAAAATCATAGTTGTACTTAATTCTGCACTGAACAAATAAATTATTTCACACGCGAAGCGAAGACGAAGTTAAGTAATAAGTATGAGTCGTCGACACTACGACAGAAGTCAGAAATCACTAACCGGAATCGCGGAAAACCGAAATATCAAAGCAATAAATTTCGTATCGTGCGTTCATGCTATTTTAGACTCAATATTTTAAGAACTATTTTAGCAATACGTTTCCCGGTATTTTCCAGTGACGGTTGACCGCTGATAACATAGCTATAAATATTATATAATAATAATATAGATAATAGACTGGCATAATATTACGTGATACGTACTATGTGACCTCGCAGGGAATCATCTATCAACTAATATAAAATTGAATCTAATAAAATATTACTTCTAAATTATAAGAGTTTGGAGTACTTACAAATAATATCTGTCTATAAAAATAAACGTTGCCAAATATAATCAATCGGTAATATGAGTACAATAATCTGTTGATATTTATTTGACTTTTATTAAATTAGCCGGATATTAATAGTAATTTAGATATCAGATACGAGAGAATGATATAATGGTCAATTTTACAGATCTCACCCAGCAATTTATACAGTTATTATTGTCATTAAAGTTCTAATTAAAACTCAAGCAGAAACAATATTGAAAATAGCTATGATACAGAGTAAAAATAAAGAAATGCCAAAAAAACAAAAGGATAAAATACTTAATATTCATAGTAAATATTATATTATGTGGTATATGAGAAATAAAAATTCAAATAATTTATTAAAATATTTAGAGTATATTATTATACTAATTATAGCTTACGCTATCCCGCTATAACTGATATATTATATATTATGCAATTAAGTTGTCATTACAAAATATTATATTTATTTCATTTTTATACATACATATATTTCATAATTTTAAAAGTTCTGCATATTTTACATTTTTTTTTATACACATAAACACTACACAGGTATTAGATATTTTCATAAGTTCTACATATCTTAAATTTTTTTTTCATATTATATATTACATATTATTAGACACTTATTTGTATACAATTATAATTATTAATTTATGACTTTTTTCAAGAATATTTTATGTATACTTAATTTTTCAAAAGCCAAATAAATGATATGACAACGTTGCACGTAAATTCGTTCTTAATCATTGTTTTTTGGGTCAGCGTTAAGTTCTTTGTTAATTTGAAATGTTCTCAATCGTTCGATAGCTATATTTTGAATATAATAAGTAAACCTTGGGTTGTTTTGTATCGGTCCGATGGATATAATAATATGACACTGGTCCACTGTGCAAATGCACAGTAGAACCTCCCCCCCCTGTCCGCCACTGACCTGAATTAAGAAAATAAACTGTCAGCTTAATTAACAACTAGTTTATACGTTGCTTATATATTTTAATTTATTATTTTATTTAAATTAATATGTAGTACACAGAAACGGAATGCAATATCTACAATGATCTAAAATATTAAATAACCGTTTTATATTTACTCCTCCATTCAATATTTATTAGTTATTATAAAAAAATATTAGATCTAACACAAATAGTAAATAATATTATGAAAAATCTCTGGGAGAGGGATATAATATATTTTTCAATCAAAGTTTAAGTATACGATTTACCTATAGATAACGATTCTCTTAGACCAAAGTGGTAATATTTCGAAAATAATGACAAACATTTTTTGTAAAATATTATCTAAAAAGGAAGTAATGACTATTTAAAAATATATAAAACTTAAAACGTAATTACTCTTTTTAATATAATATTTTACAATAAGGATATGTTATTATTTCTGAAATATCCTTACCATTTTTATTTATTGGTCATAATATGTACGGTCATAGGTACTGCAAAAATGAATTATTATTAACTTTCAAAAGAGTAAAAGACCGACTGCCAAGATCGTTGATCAAAATTTACATTACAATATTACATTAT